CACACTCCTAGGTATCCTGTCTTATCCATGCTGCAAGAAATGTTATTAGGGTTCCAATGTCAAAAGTTTCACCAGATTTGGCATATAATATCAATGGAAGAGAGCTTGATCGCGATTGGAGTTCACTTAACCCTGTCACTGTTCAAGCTTTGTGTGTTTCACAAGATTGGATACAGGGTGAACTGGAAAGTTAATGCACTGTTTTCCTTCTGCCTTCTGACTTGTGTTGATTCTTCACTTAAGAATTTCCTTTGTAAGTTAGATCTCCTAACTTCTCAAGTCAGTTGTCCTTATTATCATGTCCTATTCTAGTTTTGTCCCCCCATTATGCATCGAAACAAGTGATTTTTAAATCTTATTCTTGGCATCTACTTTTATTCTTTTTTTAAATTGTTTGGCGATCTCTTGCATCTTGTGAAGTCTTCCGGTTACCTTTAGAAACATATTCTTAATATGCCAAGGGATAATCCTGGTGTTTACAATTTATCCCTTACCATGCACCGAAATGTCAATTGATCTGCTTAGCCTTCTTTGACTGAAGTCCACTCTTGGCTTGTTGGAACTTCTGGATCCCAGGCCTTTCTATGGGGTTTTGGAGCTCCATAGATATCTAAAGATCAGAAGAACCTCCTTCCATATGGATTCAGAACGAGTTTGGATACCTATTTGGTGAAAATCGCAAATACTTTGTCTTGTTGAGACCCCCATAACAAAAACAGTATTTTGTCTCCCCTGTACATCTATATCATAGATGCATTGCATTCCACCTGCTTTATGAACCTCCATAAACATTGTTGTGAACGTCAGGTCTCAGCCAAGAAGTGGTGTCTGGTTGGGGTGGCCTTTAATCAGGTGCTGAAGTCGTAAAATATCGAGGGGCAGCTAAGGTCAGATCCTTACTTGGTATTTTCACAAGAAAAGGATTCCATTTTTTTATATGTCTACCATGTCTCTGCCTTTGTAATTATGCTCAACAATTTCTGTACATTCTCATTAAATTTCAAAATGTATATGAGCATATTTTTAATCGCTAAGGTTTTTTTTTTTTTTGATCGATTCATTTCTATATTTGTACATCGAAACAACGGTTGTAATTATCTACAGTGTCTCAGGAGACAGATATGGGATGGCTAGTTTTGAATATCGTCGTCTAGACGGAAAAGAGGAATAATTTCCTCTGTTCATGTGATCTTCAACCCCATTCTTCCGTGGTGACTGGTTCGTGTTCCTATCAGTAGGAGTTTGGGAAATGCCCGTCCCATATGGGCTCAGGTTTAAAAACTCTTAATTTAATTTGATCGTTTCCTAAAATTTGGCCATTATTAATTGGGCTCAAGGTTGTACCTGATTTTTTTTATTTTAAAAAAATTAAATTTCACATTATTATATTACATATCTAAGTTCTAAAGAATAAATTAAAATTTTCTGAAATTTAAATGAGTAATTATGTAAGTTATATTCAGCCATAATCTACATTAAGTTGGATAGTTAGTTAATTAGATAAATGGGGAAGGTGGTCATTGAAAACAAATCCTAAAGGAAAATGACTAAATGTTACAAGGTATACTGGGGATTACTAGATTGTTCGCTGAAAACTTCCATTACAATGATCATCACTCTCTCCCTTAGCATTTCAATTTTATTTTTTAAAATAAAGGTTAACTTAAACAGGTAGCTTGAGTTTGAATTTATTTTTTGAGCTTATATAGATTAGTTTCAAAAGTTTTTATGCAGGTTGGGCCCAAAAGTTTTTATGCTCTTCATTTTCAAAGCTCAAAAGAAAATGAGCTTAGTTCAACCAATTAAAATTGATATAAATGATAGAAGTTCTGTTCATTTAAAACCTGTGGTTGAGGGTTTAACTTTTGCCTTTGTGCATGTACCAATTTAGTAGTTGAAATCTACCCATTACTTTCAGTAATTTGAAAGAGATATTTTTCATTGTTGGGAAAAAAAACGACGTCACTTCATGTTTCGGGCCCTCCTTACCACCTCAATTGTGCTCTTATCTCAATTGTGCTAATTGTTGATAGCTCATCTAGTTTCTCAATTTTCAGGGGCAAACTTCCTCAGATTTCAAGCTAATAAAAGGGGCTACACAACACTTGAGAGACACGGACGTTGCATCCCACCAGAAAAAAAGGGATTCGAGTGCAATCTAATTTCATCCAAATTGGAATACAAAGCCAATTGTCTACAAATTTGCTGAGTTAATGATAAATTGTAAATTTGTTAAATTTAAGATTTAATTCCAAATGAATATATAGCTATCAAAATGGGAATCAGCATAACCCAATAAAGAGAAGAAAAAAAAAGGGGGGGCACCCCATGTGCCCAAATTTCACCAGAAAAAAAGCCTCAGATGAACTATCAAAGGTATATGGTGATAATAGTAACCAAGTGTTTCTCAAAGATTCGCCCAAGACCTGTACAACAGTAAAACTTTCGGAGAAAACTAAAGAATGCTATACAATAAAAATGTAGATAAGCATTTCCATCATGTAACTTACAGAAATCAGAATACTAGGATCACTAAGAGCTCATTCATATCTGTCTCGTCTGCGACTATTATTGTGCTTCTAATTTTAGCAACTGCATTGTGGCTTCACCAAATTGCTATATATGAACATAAAATAACTTACATCATTCCGTGTTGGACGTATAAGTCAGAGACTGAAGGACCAAACCTTTTCCCTCTGATCCATCAGTATATCTTGCTCAGTCTCTTGAATAACTATATTCACATCTTGGTCCTTGAAAATTATCTCCAATTTGAGTTTTGCTGCTGAAAATTGATGGCGAAACTCAAATAGGTGATTTTTCTTTTCTGGATCAAAGTGAACTTAGTCTCAAATGAATAGCAACAGTGAAAGAACTTAGCCCCTTCACCAAGTGATTCTACATCTGCGAATAAATTTATCTGACAAATTTACATATCTGTTCCAGAAACTACGAAATTGTGGGAATCCAATTTCAAGCCATGGCTTTGCAGGGCCATTAAAATGGATAACAGCAGCCGATTGCAGTTTCTCTACGTTGATTTCTTCTGATTGATAGCGATAACCTAAATCAGGGACGAGCCATTTTGAATCTATAGGATGGACATGACCCTCAAAGGCAATCAAGGCTGGTGGAAGCACTCCTGGGTTCCATAATTGTAACCCAGACCTGAGGTTCTGGCGAAATAGATAATATACAGATAATAGTCCCATGAGACAACAGAACGAAACAGAAAAAACATAAACTAGTTCTCTGTAAGAAAAAGATGTGTAAACAAAGTGTAATTTATTGTTTGACTTTAGTTATTTTGTTTCTAACAGTTCTATAATGTCATCTTGGTTTTCAAAAGATGACCTCAGTCTCATTTTGTTTCTTGAAAATTATTTTTGCATCACTCTAGTATTCAAAAGTCCAATTCGGCTCAAATTTCATCCTTTCTGAGATATATCAGCAATACTGTACAATTTTTTTAAGGGATTAAAGTAACAAAAAAAGATTTTTTTAAAGAGTTGACATTGCTTGTAAAAAAAAAAAAGGATCATATAAGTGGAGTGTTGGATTCAGGTTTTGTAAATGAAGAAAAATGCATGTTAGGAAGAGTTTCTCCTCCTCAATGGATTTGCTTAGCTGGATTTAGATGAGTCTAAATTCAATGTGACTTTTTAGAGAGACTTATTTCAAAAACTAGTATAGGTCCTTTGTATTATATGGAGTTTCAAGACTTAAGCTGTGCTGTTCATAACTCATAAAAGAGCAGTTTGTAAGAGTTTTTATACTATATATACATATATATATAGATAGATATATAACCTTTCTGGAAAACAATAAAACTAGAGTCATATTTGGAAGACCGAAATAAAGTTTCGCCCTTAAAGAAATGTTTATGGTTCTAACTTCAGACGTATGAAGATGTCAATAGAACAAATCAAGTGGAGTCAGGCATACTTACAAGCTTCAACCATTGAAGGTAAGTCTGAGTGATATTTGTTCTCCGCCAAGCTTGAAGATCAAATACATTGATGCCATAGAGCCAAGCGCACTGATCAGGGTCAAAGTAGGATGATATGAAGGGATGTGAAAAGTTGAAGTAGTTTGTATATTTACTGTCAGAGCAACAGGTGTTTCCATCTCCACAATATGACTTGAATACAGAACCACTGACTTTGCCATAAAGATCTAGCTCCCACAATGAAGAGATGTCGTGTTGCACGACAACATCATCATCCAACAACACTATCTTGCTGAGATTAGGAAACAACTGTGCCAAAGGGCAAAACAAAAAGGAATTTAGATGATGAAATCACCATTGTCTGGCATTTGGAATTGCCATTAGTCAAGCAGGTGGCTACTTAAATACAAGATAAAATGCTGATTATACATTGTTGTCATTTAACAATCTTTTTTATCAATTTTTATTCAGAGACTAGGTTATATTTCATCCAAAATTCCTCCCCCCCTTTTCATTTTGGTCTCATTTGGTTAGAATAATGAAATATCATAGAGAATGGAATTAAAAAGCAAAATATAAATAATTTATAAAATATTTATTATGTCTTTATTATCACTACCTAAGGATATCTCTCCTTTGATTATTTTTTTTAGTAGAACAAGAGACCCATTTCTCATCTCAGTCTCATTTTCTGCCTTTTAATTTCATTTCTCAATATTCTATATACTGAGCATATTTTTTGTACGTGTACCCAATGAAGCTAAGTAGAGTTCATTTATACAATTTATTCCAACAAACCTATTAAATTGTAGCGAGCTACATATTGAGAGAGACCAACTCGTACAGGAAAATAAATTAAAAACAACAAGATTAGATCATTAATTTAAAAAAAAAATAATGACCAAATCGTGTATTTACTTGGAAAAAAATAATTAATTACCTCAGGGATATACATTCGAAGATGATTCATCAGGGAAAAGCTGCTAGGCCTTAAAGCTGCCAAGAATTTGCCTTGCTCCAAACTATGACCAATCTCTTTTTCTTTAAACTTCTTGTGGAATCTCTTCCCAATTTGGTGATTAACTTGCATAATCTCTTTAACATTTGCGTTCACTTCTTCGGACCAGTCACATTGGTGCAGTCCCCTAACCTCCAAAACTGATGGTTCAATAGAATTTGTGGCAAACCAAGCATGCATTGGAGTGTAAGTTTTCTTGTCTGTAACGATGTGAAAGACTAGTTTTTCAGGGTTGGCTACATTTTCAATTAGGGAGGCCACAACAACAGAAGCAGCAAGGACATTATCAGTTATGAGAACCAGATGCTGAAAACTTTCACTAACAAGGCGAGACACGTATTCAGGAGGAGGCAGACGAGATCGTGCCATGGCATTTACAGAATATTCTTCAGCTAACTTGAGAGAAAGACAGTGTAGGGTTTTGGGAACACCGTGTGAAGCTAAGTGCCAGAAAATTGATTCTTGTTGCCTGGCTAATTGGACCTTGTGATCCATCTGTGATAGCTGCATAGTTAAGAGAAGAAAAGGTGGAGTTAATGAAGATCCATCACTCACGTCCTTATGTCAATAATCTGCGGCTCATGGAAAACAAGATAATGTAGCAAACTCAGCTCCTTTACACAGGCAGTTCTTGAGTATAGTGCAATTTTTGCCTCAATTTTCTCGTAAAGCTTATTTGATCTATTATATAATTAAATATCTTTTGAGTTTCGTGAAAAAAAATACATACTTTTCTTTAACTTTAAAATATAAACATATTTCTCAGGAAACAAAAAAAGTTACCTTAAGTTTTAGTATAATATATTAATAACTTGTATGCATATTTTTTTTTTTAAAAAAGACAGTTAAATTAGCAATGGCGGGGTGAAATGCAGATAGGATGCATGTTGAAACTCTCTAATGTAACGAAGAAAAATTAAAGTGCGGAGATGACTTTCTGTCACATGAATATAGCAGCCATTGTGATCTACACAACGGACATCAATAGCATAATATGCGAGAATGACATTTAAAATGAGACCAGTATTAATTAGCATATAATGAATTATACAGAGATATAACACTCATTAGGGCGAGACTTACAGAGATATTTCATCCATTAAAAAATGTAAGATATGTTTTGAGGGATTAGATATTTAAAAATATAATACATTTTTAATCTTTCAAGATGTAATCATTATTTTTTTATAAAAGTGTTTATATTAAATAAATCACTTTACATTTATTTTAGGGTGAAACACCCTATTAAATAAGAGTAATTATAAAAAGATATGGTTAGTTTGAAGATAAACAACTGCTTTATAAAAAGGTAAAATTTAGTTAAAATTATCGTATATTTTTTAATAGAGGGAGTAGTGATTTTCACCTGTTTATTTCTTTTTCTATCTTTAGCTTTATCTAATGTCAACTAAAAAAAAATCACGACCCATGTATTCTATACATTTATATGTAGTTATCTCAAAAATTAAAATATGCAAAAATAAAATAAGATGAGATTCTAAATAGAAAGAAGCAAGGAACGAAATTTCTCGTAAAGAGAAAGCAGCAGCTTAAAAAGCAGTCTGAATCTATCGGTAATATTTATTTACCATGGCTTTGGTTTTGAAAGCAAAAGCCTTGAGGTCTTGTCCTTTAGACACCATCTCATTCACAAGCTCGTTGAATGACTCGGCTCCTTCCTTATTAACATTATCATCCTTTGCCTCTAGAAGCGCTCTAGTCAGCTCATCTCTGAGTTTCTTCACGTACACACATGCACAATACATCACCACCATGAAAACCAAATACTAATGTAATAATGCACTAAAAGTTTTCTATTCATGTAATTTATCCCATATTTATTATTATTTAGCAGTATTATTTTATTTATTCGGTCATCTGTATTTTCATCTCGACATTTTATGTAATAAATATTTTGCAAAATATGTTTCTATTTTAAAAATAATGACAAAGCAGACATTTTGACCACAATACTATATTAAAAATATTTATTATCAAAATGTTATATATTCAAAAGCATTTATCAAAATATTATAAATTATTGACTTGTCTTGCATCAAACCAATTTCTTACCGGCTTTTTTACCCCTTTGGACACATAAAACTGTTTAGGTCATACCGAGTTGTCTCGGCTTCAATTTTTTTACCATCGAGTGGCAGTGCCGCCGCCCCTATTCCCTCCCGCTCGCCCTGTTCCCATCTCCCCCACCCCCACCCCTTCTTGTTTCTGCATTAATACATAATTTTGATTATTTATATTGTAAAATATATAAATATAATTATTTAGATATATAATTAGAATTAAGTTTAAATTATTTTACATTTTAAATTTTTTATTTAAAAACGTATATTTTTCATTTACAAAAGTTGATAATTTTTTATAAGTTACTCTTTTCGTTCAAAAATATAAGGCATTTTTTAAAAAATTAGATGTTTAAAAATATAATTTTTTAATCTTTAAAGTGTAATTATTATTTTTTTTTTCAAAAACACCCTATTGATAATGACTTTATATTTATTGTAGGGTGTTTAATATGAATAAATATAAAAAGATAGGATTAATTTAAAAATAGATAACTACTTCATCAAAGTAAAATTTAATTAAAATATTTTATATTTTTTAATAAAGAAAGTACTATTTTTTAGAAAGATAAATTATAATTTTTTTATTTTATCCTTTCGTAATAATTTATGATATTGAAGTAAGAAGTTACATATTAGAAAGTAAATATTTTTTAAAAACGATGAATTTAATAAAAATATTCAAAAAATTTTAAACAATATTAATTTTTTTTTAACCAACAACAGTATTAATCATTTAACTAATTCTTGTTAATCTGACGAAATTATTAAATTATAATCCGGCCGAGGCAGGAAGACGCGTGGGGAAACCGGGCAAGGAAACAGTCAAAAACGTGTTGTGGAGATAGCTGTCATACTTGTACTCCCCCCTAACCTAATTATTACTAATGGCTGCGTCATATCAGTTCCGTTGCTTTCCAGAAAAGTGGAGCACCATATTGCACTCCAACTGGGCACGTGTTTTGGGAATAAACCAAAGCTTGCGCCAGTTCACAATTTCACCATATCATCAATTATTTGTTTTGATTTTAATTTCACTAAATAAATATCAGAAATTTTGAGCAAATTGACCACTCACCAGAGATGCGTCACTTCCGCTGAAAAATCTCCATCCCATGCTATCTGCAATGCACATTAAATTTACATTCATGCTTTCCTTTTTCTTTTTAATGATATATCCAGTTATATTTGGTTTGGCGTAAGAAATGAAGCATGAGAAAAATCCAAATACCAAATTTGTCTTCTATAGCGTGGTCTCATCTCTTAGCATAAATTTTCGACAGAAGACAAGCTAAAGATTAGTATAATTCAATATTTTTAAATTAAAAATTAATTATCAATTATATAACATAAAATCCATAATAAAATAATTATTTACGGAATAAAAAATTGACGTCTTGGTTGTAATAATAGTAATAAAAAAATTCTTCAATAAGAAGGCTCGATGTAAACTTGAAACTTCAAAGCAACCTCGTGTCGTGATTTGACTTGATAATACGCCGTGCATTCATCTTGTGCCCAAAGCAACTTACGAGACACAGAACTGCACTTGCCAAACTTCAAAACTTCTTGCGTCTTGCAAAATTCAGCTATTCTTAAAATCTGTATACTCCCTCATGTAGTAATTATAGAAATAAGTTTTAAAATCTTATGTAATTTTAAATACATGGTAAAGATGATGTAGTTATTTTTAAAAAATATTATTCCTCCAATTACAAACATATAATTCTAATTTCTAAATAATATTTATTGTAGTTTTAATTTTTAATGAAAGATAAAGTTTAAAAGTTATACTTTACCCAGAAAAGAAGTTTAAAAGTTATACATATTACTCCCCAAAACACTAATATTCCAAAACAAAACAGTTTGCATTCTACGCTATCAATATCAATACAAGTACATACTTAATATATCTATAATAAAATAAATTTTATATGGCTCACTCGATGCCCAGTATCTAGTATCTACTTGATGAAAAAAACCAAATATATACCTAATTATGCAAAAATAAAATATAGCTAGTATTTCACCCAAAAAAAATTGGCCAGTAAAATTTTATCAGTGATAATTAACTTTCAAAAATGATAATTAAGAATAGGTTTAACAACTTGTATGAAGTATTCATTTCTAACATTTTAAATCGAAGACAATTGGCTGGCAAAAAAATCAGAAAGAATTTGGAAAAAGGATTGAACAGATAAGAATGGAAACAATCAATTAGAACAAGTAGAGTGGCAGAGAAACGAGAATCACCTAAAGAGGAACATACAGAAGTGGATTCCAGAACCAAAATCGCGAATCTCACAAAGAGGAACGGCAATACGATCGCCAGCAGCAGCAGCACAGGCAGCACTGTCCTAGCGGAAATCCGGCGACCAGAGGTGGCGGCTGAGGCTGCCGTCTTGGGCAAGCCTTTGCCGGCGGTGCCGTTCGATATCGTCACTCTCTTGATCCCGCTCGCCGATATGTAGAACTTCATCTTCTGAATTCCATTGATCCAATCCTTCTCCTTCTTCTTCTTCGCCTTCCTGGATCGAATCAGCAAGAGATCTGAAGCTTCATTAGCTCAGCGCCGAGTGATGAGTGAGTGAGTGTCAGTGAATAAAGTCCAGAAAAAAGCGGGCGGGCGGGCGAGAGAGAGACAGAGAGAGAGCAAGGTTGTTGCATTTGCAGAGCACTAAGTTCACGGGTTTCGAATTTTTCTCTCGCAACAATAATCTTGAAAGGATCAAAGCGAAACTGAATTTTATTTTCTTTTTTTGTTTTCCAGAGAGGAAAGAAGTTGTTTCCCAGAGATGAAGAAAACGCCAAACGAAGCCGCGTTCAAATCCGCGGGAAATTATTAGTACAGGTTAAAGACACCCACGCTATAATATATATATACACAAACCCCGCAATGCGTTTAGATAGCTTTGCGTGCTTGTCTGTTTGCCACTACTTTGGACCCTAATTACGACAGTGACCCTTCTTCTTTGCCTTTCTCTCACTCTCACCGACACCTCCTTGTGGGGTTTATTTTAGGTGGCGTCGGTTACAGGACACCCCTCCCCTTCTTTCTTTGTTAAGGTATTAATGACGATTAAAAAAACTTTAACTTGGTGTTTTATTTTATATACAAAGTGATTTACTCATTAGATGTAACATTTGCACTTCAATTTGGGGTTTATTAGATTCATGCTCGTACTTTTTTTTTTCTCCCGAGACGCTGGAATTGTTTTTTTATTCCATTATCCAAAAATACATAAGGCTTATTTCAGGATTCGAAGTTGATAGTCAAAATTTTAAAATAATTTGATTCAATTTTTTCAAACTAATTAAATTATGTGGTGATCAATATAATTGTTTTGTTTTATTTTTGTAGGTATGTTTATGTTCACTCAACTAGTTAGATAATTAGTAATTTTAATTTTAGCAGAATTTCATTTGTTTTATTGGAATCAAGTATAGGTGAGGTGACCAAGAGGTTAGCAGAGTTGAGATACCTTATGCTGACATAAAAATATTACTCCTAGCCTTTTTTGGTACATAGGCCTGAATTTAAAAGGATTGAAATTAGGATTAGGATGGAGATCGAAATTGAAAATGAGATTGGGGCTTTAAAATTATGTTTGGTACAAAGTAATAATTGTAGGAAATATTTTCCTTATAATTAAATATAAATTATAAAAAAACTATAATACCCATTATAATTGATAAAAAAATTCTCAAAACCCACCTCTTTGTCACTCACGACCCCAACCGCCCCCATCATCGATCACCCTATTCAATGACATGGAACTAGGAGCAAATGCAACAACGATTCTTTCGTGATGAATCTCAAAGATTCAAAGGCAAACGCAATAAACATAACAACCCTGTTCAATGCATATTTGAAGGCAAGAAGGCGAGTAGACTAGAATGGCGAGAACAATGTTGATGGTGGAAGACTGAAGGAAGACGAACGGGAGATAAAGGAAGACGAAGGGAGAACAGTAGGAGGTAGACAAAGGGCAAAAGGAGGAAGACGAACTTGTTAATAGTGAAGGACAGTGCCAATGCTAAGGACGACCATGGTAGAGTCGACTAAATGAGAGAATGGTAAGGGATGGGGTTGGGGGTGAGGACAAAGAGATGGGAGAGATGGTGACTGGAGAGAGAGGAGAAGTTGATTGGAGACATGTGAGAGAAGCTACATTTCGATGGTGGTGGTTTGACGAGAAAGGAGGGTACTTTGGTCTGAAAGGTTTCAATCTTGGAATTAAATTTTTAATACCACCTTTCCTATGAGTTTGTCCAATCCCACCCATGTGAGTTTCAATAATCTCAAGTAACAAACAATCCTTTATATCAAATATTATAAAAGTAGGTTAATTCAATTTCAATCCTATTCTCACCCTTTCAATGCCATTTATCAAATAGGGCTCTACATCTCATTTATGAACAAGTCATATCCAATAGGTCATATCACATCTTCAAGTGATATGTCACTATTATGTCATTTTTTATTTTCAAAATTAAATAAACACATTTATATTTGTATGTGTCTTTTACAAATAATGTTGAAAGAAGTGAAGAACTATCACCATTTAACAGTCAATATGACATAATTGTAAGGGAAACTATAATCATTATTTTTATCAAAATGTCATATTATATTGCAATTATTAATTACATTATTTTACATTCGACTAGTTAACAAAAATTTTAATATTAAGAAAAATGTAATATTATATTAATAATTAATGATATATCTTGAAAATAATATTCATTGAAAATATAATTAGATATTAAAAACTATATTATGATACTCGGAAGAAATTACACAACATTCACATTAATATATATATATATATATATATATTTCTATTGAGTTATATTTTTAGGAAGTGAAAATTGAAATTGTTATTTAATCCAATGATTTTGATTTTCTTCAACAACAACAAAAAAATTGATTTTGATTTCAAAGGAATAAGTATGAGAAGCACTCTGCTTAAAAATAACAGTAATTTATCTTATAAATCTCTCAAATTGATTGAGTGAATAAAATGATAGTATATGAAAAATCATTGTTCAAAAGATGACAACCTCTTAAATGATGTTTAGATTTTTAGATAGATTTGATATATCATGTCATCTATTATCTATCCAATAAAAATATGACATTAAAATAATATCAAATATAAATTAATTTTGACATTAATGATAATGAAAAAAAGCAAGAAATGCATTTTATTATAAAAATAAATTCATTAAAAATAATAACACATAAAATCTTATTTGATTAAATGGTACAATTTTATTGGATGAATTATAGATCAGTAGTGCATTGAGTTTACATAAGAATTTCTCTTCTAATATGTGTGTGTTATTTGTTTATAAAATATACATTGACAGTAATTAATATGCTATTTTTTAAATAGGTATAAATATTGCAAATATTTTTTCCCATCCACCCATATTATTGTTACGAGTGTTAATGGCAGTCAATTTCTGGTATCATTATTAATTTATTACTGAAGTCTGAATGTACTATAGATTTTCACCAAATCACCCCCTTCCCTACCAATGTTACGGCTGCTATTTTTAGGTTGAAGAAAAATTATTCTTTGTAATTTTCTAAAACTAAAATGTATGATGTTTTTTTTTGGCATGCCTAAAATGTATAATGTTTATTATAGTATTGTTATTGTGCATATAATTTCTATTTTTATTCCGAGTATTTGGTATATTTTATTTGCAAAATTATTTTTATTTTAGTTTTTAATTCCATTTCATAATATAATGACTTATTAAAGCAGAAAAATAATGACTCTAGAAGGTTTGGATTTCAATTTTTATTATTTTGTTTAATATTTTAAAATTTTATCATTTTTAATTTAAAATTCTCGTAACTAAGAAAAGACTGAAGACATAACAATAAAATTATATCATTCAAATTAAATGGGAAGGATCTAAATATTCTTGAATGAAAACAATATTGCATATTGAATGCCAACAACAATCTACTGCTTTTAACAAGTACTGGTATAAAAAAACAAGTATCAAAAGATTAAATAAATTTAAACTCACTGAAAATACAAGATGTATTTTTCGAATAAAGTAAATATAAATATGAATTACTATTATTTTTCCTAATTTTTTTCCATATAAAATTATTTTAACATCCTTATATAGAATTAAATTACGTTGAGATCAATGACGTCCACTAAACTTGGACTTTTGTATAACTACCTAGAGTTGAGTTGTTTTGTTTACGAAAAATTAATCTACAAATTCTTATAGTTTTTATTAATTTTGAATTAGATATTTGAAGTCTTTTTTATTTTAACCAAGCCTTATAATTTAATCTCTTACATATGTTAATCCCTAAAAATTAAATTTATTAATGAAAGATTAACTTTTTCAAAAAAAATTATAAAAAATTGATTTAATACTTTTGGTAAAAAATTGATTAAATACAATAATTACACTTTTATTAAATTTTTATGAAAATTATCTATGTACAAAGGTTATTTAAAAACAAATTTTGAGTTATAAAAATTATGTAATTAATCTAAATTTATATAATATTTTAATAAAAATACAAATTTTTTTTAATTATTTTTATTAAAAGAAAAAATTCAATAATTATAACTTCTAGAGATTAATAAATTTAACGGATCAAACTATAAAAACCTAATTAAAAATAAAATAAGCTAAAGTGACGGATTAATTTTTTCTTTTGTTTGTGTGTGTGTGTGTGTGTGTGTGTGTTATGCTTTTAATGAGTTAATGATCTGATTTCAATTCACATGCATCGTTTGACCTTAAGGTTCACAAGTAGGGAGTAATGTGCTAACAATTATTTGCAACATGTTGATGATTTAATTTTGTACTTATCCTTACTCTTTCTTACCTCTCTGTGTGCATGGTCTCAAGTTTCAACTGTCATTTAATGCTTTCATTGCAATCTTCGAATCTCCTTTTTGTTTAACCATCATAACTTCCTCAAACTGAAATTGGCACAGCTCTCCAACAATAATAATTGTCCCCTGACTTGCTAATTACTCCATCTAGTATTTAAATTAACTTACATGAAGATAATATAATTTTTAATATCTGAATTTTATATTGATTTAGTCTTCAAATTTTGACTCAATATAATTTAATCATTGCAGTGTACTTCTTATGATCCTATATATATATATAAAGTCACTTCTAAATACTTTATTAAAATCAAAGAGAAAAACTTAAATCATTGATATTATTCGAAAGAAAGAAAGTAAGAAACACTACTGTAAAAAATAAAACATTTTACGTCCCTAATTAAGTCGGTTTTACAAAAATCCTACGTTACAAAGGTAGTGGCATGGTTGTAAATATGAGCCAGACATTTCACGTCAGTTATGGGACAGCCTTGCAGGTGATGGTGTGGCTTATCTTCTTCCTTTTTCCTCTTCCACTGTAAGTGTCGTTTTTTATTCTTAATTTTTATTACTTATTGATATTGTGATTGTTGGCTATAATTGGATATTTATATAGTTGGGAACTTGCTTGGATGACTTTGTCCCTTCAAGTTTTTATTTTTTTTACTCTAGATTTTTTAATTTTTATTGCCTATCGTTGTAATTGTTAGGTTTAATTAAATATTTGTATAGTTGAGTATTTTTATTGATAAATTTGTGCCTTGAAGACTTTACTCTTTTAAGTCATTTGGGTTTCATTTTATAATAATTTGGTATTTGTTTAGATGATTTGTGCCTTCAAGTTTTTATTTAATTCTCAAATTATATTTTATAATAGTTGGAT